GGCTGAGGGCAGCTGGGTGGCACAGTGGATAGAGCACCAACCCTGAAGTCAGGAGGACCTGAGTTCAAATCTGACCTCAGACCGAACACTTGACACTTACTAGCTGTGTGACCCTGGGCAAGAGTCACTTGCCTCAATTGCCTTTAAAAAAAAAGAAAGAAAGAAAGAAAGAAGGCTGAGAAGAAAGCCTCCTTAATGAGTTGGAGATGAATATGAAAATCATGAAGGTGACCCAATCATTCACTCAATCAACAAGCATTAGTTAAGCCAGACCAGGCACTGCAATACTTTTTAGGACTATAATGATGAAGGCAAAACAGCATCTGCCTTCAAGGAGCTTATATTCTAATGTGAGACACAACACAAGCATACAGGAACATACAAACCAGTTCCAAAAAGGGGGGAGACACAAGCATCTGGGGAAGCAGGAGGTGATAGGACCTGGAAAGGCCCTCAGCCAAAAGAGGCTCTTGAGCTGAGTGTTGAAGGAAAACAGGGATTCCAAGAGAGAGAGGTCAGGAAGAAGATGAACTGTTGATAAACACGCAGAAGAATCAACAAAACGTGTCATTTGTGATGACAAAGGAAAATACAGTATCAGGAAGGAGACCCAGAGAAAGTCCACTGAATTTGGCGATTCTGAGATCACTGCTGACCAATGAGAAAAATAATCACCATAAAAAGGAATGAATTACATGCTTAATAGCATGTGGCACTGTACAAACAGAATTGGGAATTGACTCTGGGATGAAAAGATTTCTTTTTTTTAATTCATTTTAAATTATAAGGGAACGAAATAACATTTTGGTAATTTAGCTTAGAGATAACATTAGGCAGGAAATTAAGCCCTGAAGTGTAGAGAGTACTGACTCTTTTGTTGAATGAATTTGTCAACTACTTTTTTATTCCTCAGTTTGTTCATCTGTAAAATGAGGATAATTGCGTTTAGCTCCCTGAAATATATTGTTAGATTAGATCTAACCAGAAAAGTCTACATAGAAAGAGAAACTTCTACAAATTTTGAAAGGGTACATTAGTAGTTTCCCTACCAAATTTGCATTACCAGCTAATTTAGACCTTAATACTTCAATAAACAGATCTTTTAGCCTGCACTTCTGACTGTCTGGACTTTCCTCACCATCTCATAGAAACCTCTTCATCTCGCAAGCTCTCTTCACTCCTGGCACCCTCCACCCCCGCAGCCCTGCCCTCTGATTGGCTGAACCTTAAGACCAAGCTTGCCCTCCTGACTCTTTCGTCTCCTTTTTCCTCTCAGCTTTTCAGCTTTCTTTTCTATAGTGTCTTCCCAAATTAGAATGTAAGTGAGGGCAGGGACTGTAGCTCTTCAGGCTTGTATTTGTAATTCCAGCAGTTAGAAAGAACAGTGCCTGTCAAATAGCAAATGCTTAATAAAAACCTATTGATGGGACAGCTAAGTGGTGCAGTGGATAGAGCACTGGTCCTGTGGTCAGGAGGAACTGAGTTCAAATCTGACCTCAGATTAAACACTTGACACTTACTAGCTGTGTGACCCTGGGCAAGTCACTTAACCCCAATTGTCTAAAAAGAAAAAAAGAGAAAAGCAAAGCTTATTGACTTGACTTAAAACTCCCAGTCTCTTCTCTGCCTTTCAGAATTCACTGCATGTTGCTGTTTTGTTCATCACGTTTGACTCTTCATGATCCCAGTTGGGGCTTTCTTGGCAAAGAAACTGGAGTGATTTGCCATTTCCTTCTCCAGCTCATTTTACAAATGAAGAAACTGAGGCAAACATGATTAAGTGACTTGCCCAGGGTCACACAGCTAGTAAGTGTCAGAGGCCAGATCTGAATTCAGGAAGATGACTTCACGACTGCCGGTCCTGCACTTTATGCACTATAGCGCCCCCTAGCGCCCACTCACTGCTTGGGGAATGACTAAATAGGTGTTGGTACATTAACATAATCATAACAAGTATTTGTATAACGCTTTAAGGTTCACAAAGCACCTTACTTATGTATCTCATTTGCCCCTCACACCCCTGTGAGCTTGGTACTATTATCTCCAATTTGCAGATGGAGTAACTGAAGCTGACAAGACTTAGCAACTTGCCCAGGATTGCACAGCCAGTTGTCTGAGACCACATTTGAACTCAGGTCCTCCTGCCTCCAGGACCAATAGTCTATGCCCTATCCCTCCTGCCTGCCTGCCTGCAAGGAGTAACTGAATTGTACGAAAAAATGAACTTGATGAATACAGAGAGAATCACAGGGACCATATGAACTGGGGCAAAGGAAGCGGGGGAAAAGTAAATACACACACATACATACATATACACACACACATGTATGTGTGTATATGTATGTATGTATAAACACACACTGTAAATGGGAGGAACACCACCAAAATAATTGGAACAGAATGCTATGAAATTATCCTAACCAACCTTGGTCCCAAAGAAGAGATATTATTAAGAGGCGCTGCTGGTAAATTTCTTAGCCCTTCTCAACCTTCTTGAATGAGATTGGGGACTACAGGTATGGAACACAGTATGTAACAGACTTTTCTGATACGTTGGTGAATTTTGCTGAACTGCTCTTTTTTTTTAACCTCTTTCTTAGTTCCTTGAAATCAGGGATGGCTTTCTGAGACGAGAAAGGAAGAGATACATTGGGAAATGTGGGTGATGTAAAAACAAAAGCTGCCAATAACAATTTGTGTTTTAAATAAAGAAATGCATAGGATCCTGGATCTAGAATTGTTAATGGCTATGAAGACTAGCCCAATTACCTCATTTTTCAGATAAGGAAACTGAGGCCAAGGAAGGTTGTGACTTGTCCAACACCACACAGGAAATATGTGGCAGATTTGAACCCAAGCCTTCAGACTCAAAGCCAGGGCCTTTTGGGCTACCACATCTTTTAATCAAAATATTCTTTTAAAGTCAGAAACTGATCATGAAATTTAGGAGAGACTCCTGTGTCTTTCCACTTGAATTGCCCACAGGATTTACCTTGGTGTAGTGGAAAGGACCATCCCCCCCCCAGGTGGGCTTCATTTCTTTGGTCCTCATTTTTCTGATTTGTCAAATCTAGAGCTAGACCTTGGATGAACTCTAAGCCAATGATCCCAGGAATTTCTCTACCACAGCAACTTTCAAACATCTACTACTAAGGAAAAGGAGAGGTGTTGCTACTACATTGAAGAGAGCAGAGTTCCTACCTATGAAAAACAGATCCTTGAAGTACTGAAGAATCACTTAACAAGCATGAACAAGCTGGCTCTGGGGTGAGATGAGATGGGGTTCAAGTTCCAGATGTGACTTCACCTCTCTGCTTTAGTTTCCTCATTTGTAAAAATGAGAGAGTGAGATTCAGTAAGTATTTATTAAGCACCTACCAAGGTATCAGGCATTGTGCTAAATGCTAGGCCTACAAAGAAAGGCAAAGGACAATCCTTGCCCTCAAGGAGCTCACAGTCTACTGGGGGAGAGACAACGGGTAAACAACGTTGTCCAAACCGGCTCTCTGCGGGATAAATGGGAAACAATCAGCAAGAGCCCCTTTGCAGGCTGGTGAAGACTATCTGACCAGGGTACGTTTGTTGCTTACATTTCACAATTGAAGGAAAAATTCAATTTCTGTTAAAGGTTAGTGCAAAGATGTAATTTTTGCCTATCCAAGTTCGGATACTCTGAATTCTACCCACGGACCCCCGTGGACGCCAGGTTAAGGACGTTTGTTTAAAACGGCCTCTAGGGTTGCCTTATAGTATACCCTCCGGGTCCAAAGCCTACACGAGTAAAACCAGTTGAAATAAATTAAAGGCTTAAAAGTAAAACCAATTTAAATACAAGAATTAAGGATCTCAGAGGCAAAAGAAAACCTTTGGAGTTACAAATCCCTAGAGATCCGTGAAAAAGTCCATCTGTTAGAGCCAAGTTGGATTCAGGAACCCACCTGGGGGGGGGAGTGTTTCCTTGTTTTTCCTCTGGTCAGAGAAGAAATCTGCAATGGCTTAGCGCACAATTCCGGGCTGCGGGACTGTGTGGTAAGCGCCGGGGGCTGAGAGGTGTCCCGCAAGTTTTACATAGGGTGTGTTGCCCACTAACTCTTGGCCCCTTCCTAGGCTGCCTCCGCACCTTGCTTTCTGCCCTGGCTGTGACAGTGTGGGCAGCCTTCGGGCAGAGGGTGCTATGGCCCAAGGCTGACGGGGACTCTTGTTGGGGCTGGAGACCGCAGGTCACCCCCCACCCCTACTACAGGGTGGGGGGCAGGCCCTCGACCCCACCAAAGGCGCGCGGGAGTACGCTCAGGTGGCAATAGACGCCAGAGTTCCTGGCACACCCTCAATTTACCATTTCAAGAATGTTTGGCCAAGCCCTGGGGGGGAAAGAGAGGTGAGGACCAGTCTTTCCTCTCTGCCTCTGGCAACCAGCACTAGGTCTCCAGGTGCACTCCAGAGATGGTCGCCTAGGGTCAATGGGGAGAGGGGGGACTTAAGGTCAACCCCCTCCCCCACCCCTCCATCCCTTTAGCTGCTCTCCCTCAGTGCCCAGCAGCTGCGTTGACTGGTCTCGAGGCGGGCGGGAGGGGACGGCAAGGCGGTGTTAGAGAGTGGAGGAGGGCAAGAGTGGGGAGGAGGGGAAAGGTACTGGGAGGGATGCGGAGCTTGGCAGAACCAAGACTGGAGCTGGAACGTAACTCGTGTAGCAGGAGCTGCTAGGACAGCGGGGGCCAATCTCGGGGGGTGGGTGTTTGGGGAATGCTTGGACTCCTAGCGACTGCGGGGCCATAGCCGGAGCCAAGGAGGAGGAAGAGGAGGAAGAGGAGGAAGAGGAGGAGGGCCCTGGTGTCCTCCCTTGGAGCGCTGCCTCTGCAGCTGCAAATCATCCCTTTTTCTTCCTCCTCCTCCTCCTCCTTCTCTTCCTCCTCCTCCTCTTCTTCTTCCTCCTCCTCCTCCCACCCCCTTTTCCCCTTCCCCCTCCTTGCCTTCCCCTTCTTCTACCCTCTCTGGTCCTCCTCCTCCTCCTTTTCTGCCCCCGCCACCTCCTCCGCCGCCGCCGTTACTGCCGCCGCCGCCGCCGCCGCCTCTGGGGCTCGCTAGCGCTCGGCACTTCCCCCAGCTGCCCGCTGCTGCCAACGTGCGCGCGGCTTGGGGCTCCCGGGGCAGCCCTCGGTCTCCGCGATCTCATTGGTTGGGGATGTGTCTATTTACATCATCCACGAACTTCTCCCAGATCCGACTGGTGAGTCCCGGGAGAGGGAGACGGCCCCAGGGACTGGGAGGCGGGGGGAGCCGGGGGAAGGCGCTGGCAGAAGCAAGCCCCCGGGGCTGCTGGTGGGAGAGAGCCTCTGGGGACGGGCAGCGAGCAGGCGGATGGGTAACCTGCGCTGGGGCTTCGGGACCAGGTGAAGGGCGGCGGAGCTGGAGAGAATGGAGACCTGGGAGCTGCTCCTGGACAGTGGGGCCCCGGAGCGGGCAAAGGGGCGCTGGATACCGGGAGAAACATTGGGCAAGGAAGGCAGAGGCTGGGGACTGGAGACCAGAAGAGGGTGGGGTGGAACGGGACGGACTGGGCGGCACGTGGGACCCTCAAATAAGGAGTCGGATGAACAGGAGAAAGACCAGAGAGAGGGGTGCGTTTGGCTTTCCCGCTCACGACTCCGTTGTGCTCGGGAACCTCTTTCAGCAAGTTCTGCTTGGTGGGTAGTGGCATCTTGGGGACCCAGTGCCGCGGCCCATTTGGGGCTTGGGTATGTCTTTGCCATATTGCTGGAGGGACAAGATGGCTTTTGAAACCTTGCTTCAGTCCTCACCGTGGTGTCCAAACTCTATTCTCCTCTCGCGCCTCAGAAAATGCCATCGTCGCTTCTCCTTCCGCTGCCCCGAAGATGTGGAGCAGCCCGTGGCTCGTCTTTGCCTTTTCTCTTCATCTCCCTTTCAGCTTGGGTGAGCTCAGTTCTGATTGCACGATTGTCTTCGGCATCCGGGCGAAGAGCAGCCGGGTTGTTCCTCCCCAAGTCTATATAAAAGTTTGCGAAACCCTCCTATGATTAGCAACCTAAATTGAGATAGAGATTCCGCTTTGCAATTACGGGAGAGAAGCAGCACGCCCTCAAGCCTTCTGTTGATAGAGCCCTGACAGTGAGCACTCCCTGATCCAGTTCTTAATTAAAAAGGGTAATTTCCTTAAGCAGCATAAAGTAGCCACTGGTTTGCAGCGTAAGCATTGCAGAGTTGTCTAATCAACTCCGAGAGCAGTTACATCCCATGCCTTGTACTACTGGGACGTATTTTTCAGCGTCTGCTAAAGTTTCTAGATTTGGTGCGGTTTCATAGGCTAGTGCAGTAAGGCAGGCGATGCGGTTGAAACTTTGTAGCCAGCATCTCTTCCACCCCGATCCTAGTAGTGAGTCACTTATTAACTACAGCCTGGGAAGACAAATTTCCATAGTGAGCTGCTCACTGGCTTAGGCCATAGCCTGAAGAATGGAATCTGTCTCGACCTCCCCCTGTGCCTCCATTTCCACACCTGTTAAAGTGGTATAATAATACACATTGTAATTACATATCACAACCGCAGGGGCTGGAAGGAATAAGTTGATGTGAGTGGAGTGCTTTGAAGATGAAAATTGCTAAGTACGTGTATCCTCTGAACACACCGGTTTTCCTCGGGCTCGTCAATTTGTCTATCTGATAAATAGATAGGATTATACTCTCTTATCTGGAGGATTACCTCTTTCAATAACTTTGAAGTAGTAATTGTATTAGAGCAAAAATAATCAGAATTGTCCCTTGATCTTAATTAGTCATTTCAGTGAGTGGTCCAGAGCCGTAACTGGTAGGTGCGAAGTGGAAGATTGGAGACCCTGTTAGGGATTAATCCTTTTGTTTGCGCCCATCCCATCCCTCCTCCCCCGCCCCTTCACGCACACTGTGTTTAAGAGGCTGCGTGGGGTAGTGGATGGAAAGATGAGCTTGGCTTCTGAAATACCTGCCAATGCTCAAATTATCTGGATGACCTTGAGTAAGTCTCAATGCTCCGGGCAACTCTCAAAACCAAGAGGCTGATTTGCGACTGTTGGAAGGAATTTAGCCATCCTCCCCACCCTCAAGAGTACGAATACCTGTACTTTTTAGTCTCCGATTTTCAAAAGCATGGCACTTCTAGTGGAAACACAGTGAGTCAATGACACAGGTGTATTTTTTCCTTAGCCTCATAAGAGGGACGATCACCACTAGTCCTGTTAACGGCATCTGCTGAATTACTCTACCCACCCACCTTTTTTGTCTCTTAAAAAGATCAGAGAGGGGGCAGCTTGTAACCACCTGGGTGACACACAGCCCACTCTAAGGATTAAAATTTAAACTCTCTCACCTCCACAAATACACACACAGACATACACACACACACACACACACACACACACACACACACACATGCTTGTCTCCAAAGTACTTAAGAGAATTTAACTACATAGTAATTTGGGTAGTTACTTGGGTGCTAGAATTTCTAAAATTTTCTTAGGTAATTTAAGTTCCTTAAAAGAATTGCTTAGAACAACCCCATAAGAAAAGTAGTGAGGCCTGCAAAGAAAAAGGCAATTTGCAAAAGAATATGAAAGATGTTATTGACACTTAGAATTTCCTTTCCTTAAAGGAAATGGGCCCTAAGGAGCACCTTTGATCAAGAAGGCAGCTGCTGCCACTCTAGGTCACTGTTAAGACTACCCGTGCCTACCTCCTTAGGATGGCTTTGTACATTGGGAGCCAGATGGCCCAGCCTTCACCCTGGAGGAACTGAGAGGGAAACAGTGAAAGGGAGGAAGACGCCAGACAGAGTGGTACTAGAAGACGAGTCGGTATTAACTTGCTAGATCCTTTGCAGGTACTGTCTAAGCAAACATTAAACCTTTGGCTGTCTTGGTGAGGACTAAATAAATTCAGCTTAAGAAATTTCGCTTGGCAATTATTATTTCAGTGAAGAAAAAAACATAAGGGAGAATTTGGAAAAACTTTTTACTGATTTTTCTGTGTGGAGAAAAAAAGTTCTGGATTTGAGTCAGGTCTTCAGTTTCTATCCTGGCTCTGCTATGATTCTGTGTGAGTTTGGGCAGGTTATTTCCACTTCTTTAGACTTGAATCATTGGTGCTTGCTTATCTGTAAAATGAAGAGGCTAGGACTAGGTTGACTGCTGTGGTCCTTTATAGCACTAACTTTCTGATCCTGTGATAAATTATTGTGGCAGAAATATCTAAGGGGAAAAATACTTAAGTAAAGTAAACATTTTGGGGAAATGTTGAGAATCCTCTAAAACCTCCTTAGGGCTTAATGAGACCTTTTAATCTGGAGGTGAGCATCTCAGAGAAAATATTACTGATTTTATCTAAGTCAGATTTATGCCTCTGTATGAAGAACCAAATGGCTCATCCAGCTGATTAGCTCCCATTAACGCCTTGCCCACTGTAAATGAAAATAATTCAAACTGTATGTTTTGGTCTAAGCTTCTGTAGTTAGATAATGGCCAGGGTACTAAATGAAAAAAAAAACTTGAAAATAAAGGTGGAATCCATTTAAATTATTCTTGGGTTCTATCAAGACTGCAATTAAAATGGAAAGGGACTTTCACTAAGTCTTTTTGGGGCTGCTTTTGGTGGTTTCCCAGCCCACTTAAGTTGAGGTCAAATCTGAAGGGTTTAGATAAGCACCATGCTCCCCCAGTAATAGGAAATGTGTGTGTGTGTGTGTGTGTTTTAACTCTTTTCAAATAAATAGTTAGGAGCACATTAGTACATCTAAAACGCATTTTTAAATGTCTTCTAACAATATAGATTTTTATACAACATGTAACCCTATACAGTTATGTTCAACAATGCATTTCTAAAAGTATCAAAATACTTGCAGAATAAAAGGACTCCCTTCATTCTGGGAATATCCGAGTGTGTTCTCCTAATGGGGGGGGGGAGGAGTGTTTCTGCTCTGGATATCAATAAAGCTGATATCTCAATGCCTGGCAGAAGAAAACAAGGCTTAGAGAGAAGTGTCTTTCCCTTTCTTTGCATCCCCAGAGCTTAGCGTAGAGCCTGACATGTAGTAGCCACTTAATAAATGCTTTTCAATTGCCTGACTGCATTTGTTCTGTTTTGTTTTTCTTTAATAACACTAGACAATAGAAGTACATATTTGTGTATACACATATGGTTTACTTTTGGTCCTTTGGACCAGCCCCGTGATTTCATTTGTAAAAGGCTGTGATGCTTTTTTTTTAAACATATAATGGTTTTCAAAGTATGGTTGGGGATGCTTGGGGATATCAGAGACCCTTTCAGGGATGCTGGGAGGTTGAAACAATTTTCAAGATAACACTGAGTTGTTCTCATTTCTAATATGGTAATATTGATAGATATAGTCCCCATAAACAAAAGCTCTTGGGGGAAGGGTCTTAAATAATTTTTCAATGTATGAAGTGATCCTGAAACCAAAAAGTTTGAGAACCACTAGCATGAGGAGCTCCTAGTGAAGAGATCCCTCTTTGGCACCTTTTCTCAAATCAGAGTTTGACAGAGTTGCCTAGCACACTCAGAGTTTGAGTACCTTGGTCACACCGCTTTTGGGAATTAGAAGTGGGATTTGAACTCAGACCTTCCCTAATATCTCTCATATATTAATATTAGGGAAAGGGAGTAGACCTGTGGGATTTCATTGGTGCAGGGAATTTTCAGAGGAAGAAACTCCATCTCCCAATGTTGCTCAGCCCTTCTGTAACTTTGAGTCTTAAACAATTGTCTGGGGACTTCAAGAGACTGACAGTTTATATATGAGGTAGGGCTTGAACTTGAGTTTTCCTGGTCACTATAATACATTGCCTTTCAATACGAATCACACATTCATATGGATAGTCTAGATCAGAGGTTCTTTGTCTTACTTTGTCTTACTGCCCCCTTTTCAAAAAAAAAAAATTACTCAGCGCCCCCCTGGAAATCTGCTTTCTTTAACCTTTTAAATTTTTTAAAAAATTTGCATCGTTTCAAAAAATATGAAATGTTTTAATGACACATCTTAAATTTAATAATTTATTGTGAATTTGTGTTTCTTTCCCCTGCATTAAAATTTTGATGATGCAACATTTTGTCATGTAACTGTGTTGTATCATATTGTAAGCAAGTCTTTATGTGCAAGGTATTCCCGTCGTTGCATGCAGGACTTCCCAGCAATGCTCCCGGTGCTTGCCTGCCAACACTTGCTTATTTAGACCTATCAGTGGACTTGACTATTGATCGGTTATGGATTGCATTTTGTGTGTTTATTTGGAAAACAATGTAATCACTACGACTTTAACTGTTACACAACAGATTTTTTCCAAAATTTTCTTATTTTCCTTCCTTATGCTTCCACTACCCTCTTATTTTTATTCAATGCCCCCGAGGTGACTACCACCCTCTGGATCGTTTTAGCAACCCCCAGCAGGCGGTATTGCCCACTTTGGCAACTTATGGAAGAGAAAATCACTTGTATGAAGACTTGTAAGGCAGTTAGGTGGCGCAATAGTGCATACAGCATTGAGTGTGAAATCAGGAAGACTCTTCACAAGTTCAAATCCAGCCTCAGGCACTTACCAGCTGTGTGACCCTGGGCAAGTCACTTCACCCTGGTTACCTCAGTTCCTCACCTGTAAAATGAGCTAGAGAAGGCAATGGCAAACCACTTTATCTTTGCAAAAAACAAAACAAAACAAACGGGGTCACAAAGAGTCAGACAACTGAAACAACTCAACGATAAAAATGATTACTTGTAAACAATACACACACAGAGGCATACATCCTGTCAAAAATTGAAGCCATTGACTTTTGGCCCACTGAGTAAATAAGTGACAGTTTTCATATGTATTCTCCAGGCAGAGCAGAGGTTCAGACCTGATGTCCAGCACTGTCAGAATTGCTGAGCTAGAGGGAAGCTATTTTTAACGATTAAGAAATCAGAAACTTCCCCAAAGGTGTTTGTGCATGTGCCTGCCTGGGGGTGTATTTGTCTGTTCGTTGGAGATTTTGTTTTGGAAACTTTACTCATTTCAGTCATTATCTTACTTAGTCAAAACCCTGAGATATTTATTAGTCATTGATTTCTGGGATTGTGAAGAGAGCCAGGAGATACAGAAGTAAACTTTGACAGCAGTTCAGAGATCAAGAGGAGGGGTTAAAAGAGTCCTTAATGACTGTATAGAAATTATTTGCTTCTGAACTTCTGAAGAGCAGAACCCTGAGTGAGTATTTCTCTAAATCTAAGCCTTTTGGACTATCTTTGGCCCTTCCATGGCACATCAAGAAACCATGAAGCCTTGTGAGAGATAGATCCTGACCTCTGGGCTTCAAGCACGTTTATTTCAGGGCAAAGATTTTTAGTAGCCCTTTGAACAAACCACTTTCTAACCCGCTTTCATCGTTCAACATGTATAAATGTCAGGAATCTAATAACTACAGAGACGGGTGCCATTTTCTCTGTCTTTTCAGACCTTAGGTTATGGGCAGATCAGAAAGCCAGATGGATATAACTGAAATCAGCAGCCCCAAGCCGAAGGCAAAGCAACGATGGACCTCTCTGGAGCTGAGTCTTTCCGTTCTTGTTCTTCTGCTCACCATCATAGCGGTCACGATGATAGTTCTTTATGCCACCCATGACGGTGAGTTGAGGGAGACCTCATGGGTCTAAAGTGGAGAAGGAAATTACTGCCATGTTCTGTAATAGCTAACCAGTACTAATGGACAGTGGTTGTTATATACACTGAGAGTCGGAGTCATACAGAGAGCTAATTACACATACATACTCAAGCGCGTGCATGTGCGCACACACACACATATACACGCGTACATCTATATGCAGATAGACATCTCTATAGATAGATCTTCCTATCTCTATCTCTATCTCTATCTCTATCTCTATCTCTATCTCTATCTAGCTATCTGTGTGACCTTGCATAGGTCACATCTCTTCTCCAGGTCAAATTTCCTTTATTTGTATAATGAAAAAGTTATACTACTTAACATCTAAGTTCTTTTTCAGCTCTAGCAGTCTCATGGGAAGAAAGATTCAAAGTTCTAGAAGGCACTTAGCATGAAATATGGAATACAAAACATGTCATGTGCTATATCTAGAAATCACCCAGGGCCCTAAAATGAGGTGTTCAAAGTTTGATCTGAGCTTTCCTTTACTTAGCCTACTTAGTTCATGTGCTGTTTTTGTCACAAGAGTCATGCAGTGATAGAACGTTGGAGTTGGAATGGGCCTCCCATATCTTGTATTTTATAGGTGAGAGAACTGAGGACAAGAAAGGGGAAACCAGTTTCCCCCAAGAATATAAAATGTGTTAGTAGCTGATCCAAGTGTAAATAATTTTATCTGAATCGAGAGCATAGGATTTCCTGGAAGAATGGAGTTAGGACCTCGCTGCTCTTGGCTCATTGACATTCGATAGGGCTTCCTTGGAATTTAGGAGGCCTAATTTGGGGCTAAGGAGTTTTCATAGCAAGGATTAGTTCCTTAATGGGAAAAGTGATTAGCAGGCCCGAACGGCTGATTACTCCAATTTAATAAATCCAGGAGCTTAGCAGATATGATTCTCTCCTTCTAATACAAATCTTACTGTAAACACATACATTTATCTTTATCATCTAAATGTAATGTATATGGTGTGCCTTTTTTATTGTGTTGTTTCCCTCTGACTCATGGAGATGCATCATACTTGGGCTTCTATTGTGTTTATTGTTAATGAACCATCCATTAAAATGACAGTCTTAAATAGAACAAAAAATAGGGCGAAAGCTGCTGGTAAATACATATAGTACACTTTTATCTCAGTGCTTCCTTTGTTTTTTTTTCAGATGGAATTTGCAAGTCATCAGACTGCATAAAAACAGGTAAGAGGATGAATCTGAAATAAAATGAATAATTATTTCCCTATTTATTTCTCTCCTTCCACCTCCTCCTTCCCCTCATTGTATTATCTAAATGCTATTATGTTTACTTTTGCATCAGCCTTATTTAGAATCCTCCTGCTTTATTGATCCATCTCTCAGGTTCATGTTCAAGGAAAGTCAAATACATTGAAATTGATTAAATACTTTGGTTTAGTCTCAAGAAAAGCCTCCTCTTTTTGAAACAAAAAGTTCACTCTAGTTAAAAATTAACTCTAAATCCACTTACATTCCAAAGTGGGGAACAAAGTATTTTCTCCCCGTGAAGCATTTTAAGTGGTGCTCCATTTTGTTTCTGTGCATGTGACACGTCCAAAGCCCAGATGCTGGTTAGTGTCCTAGTGAGGAAGTGCCTTTAAGAAATTAATCAATTGAGGGGCAGCTAGGTGGACCAGTGGATAGAGCTCCAGCCTTGGAGTCAGGAGGATTTGAGTTCAAATCCAGCCTCAAACACTTGAGACTAGCTGTGTGACCCTGGGCAAGTCACTTAACCCCAAGTGCCTCACCAAAAAAAAAGAAATTAATCAATTGGGATTCTGCTTAGGTGACTTTTTTTTAAGGCTTTTGGCTTACTTGTGTAATTAAGAGGTTCTTCCTTGATGATAGGATCAAAATATATTGATGAAAGCTCTCTATGGTTCTCAAGCACACTTTGTTTGAATATCACAAGTTTTAGATTTGGTACTAAGAGTCAGCCTCATCCTATATTGTTATATGACTACAGCACTAATAAAGATGGAAAGCCATAGCTGGCCAAATGATTCATCATGAGAAATCTGCTGATTGTTTTTCACTCATTTTAAACATTGGCTGTTGGTTTTTAAGCATATGTGAGTACAAGAGAGCCAAGTTAACTTCAGTCAATGAAACAACAGAGGCCTTAGTAAAGAGGAGGGGGACTCATCATCATCCATCATGGCCAATACTTCCGGCCGGGGCGCATCCATTTTTTACTATGCCTGGTCCAGCCAATGTGTATGGGGAGGGAGGAAAGGAGGAAGCAATAGGATCTGTGTATTTCATAGGTGTTCAAGTAGAGTGAAAAATACTGTTCTTCAGCTTTCTGGAAAAAAAAAGAACACAGCAGTAGTGTGCTAGAAAGCTGTTTCCTGACCAGACTAGGAGGACATTTCACTAGATTCACCAGAAGCCTATGTTGAAACACTTTGCATTTCCCCATTACCTTGCACAGTCATAAAACAAAGGTGGAGTGGGGGAGGGGTGCTGACTTTGCTAGCTGAAGGAAAACAGAAGACTCGTGCGTATGGATGTGCATATACATGTGTATGTATGTAATGTGGTTTGAGATGGGATGTGTGGTTTACCAATTGACTGATACTGTTTTAGGATTTGCTTTGGACTCAACCCTCTCAATCACAGGAAGGGAAAGAAAAGTACAAGAATGTATGGTCCCTCAACTCAAACAGCTTAGAGTTTAGTGGTGGAGACAGACCTAATACACTAAGAAAATAGCAAACTGCCTGGCATAGTAACTTTGGCACTGGTTTTGGAGGTAGGAGGACCTGAATTCAAATCATGTCTCAGATATTTACTACTTTTGTAACCTTACTTATCACTTCCTTGATAGAATGTAAGCACCTTGAGGACGACTGGTTTTTTTTTTTGTCACTGTTTACCAAGTTTCTGGTATAGTACCAGCACATAGTAGGTGCTTAATAAATACTGATTGATGAAGTAAAATTAAGACCAAAGTTCAGGAAAGCTTTGGTACATCTTGAACTTGATCTTTGAGGAAAACGTCAGTAGAATTTGGAGACTTGGATGGAGACATTCCACGAGAGGGAAACAGCCTGCACAAGGCAGAGGTATGCACTGGGGGGTAGTGCTGAGTGGAAGCAGCCAAGTTGTGGACAGTGTCCCTAGTTCAGAATAGGAGGACATAGATATCAGTCACTGAAGGTTTTTTAGGAGATCAATAGCATGTTGAAAGTTTGTTCATCTGGGAGAGGTGTGGAGGGAAGGAGGGAAAGGAGGAAGGTAGGGAAGAGGGTGAAGGGAGAGATTAGGAGTCCAGGAAGCCAGAGAGGGAGATGTTACACTAATAACCTGGGTGTGAGTGATAAGGGCCTGGATGAGGAGGGTGGAATGGGAACAGAGGTGAAAGAGCAGGTATGAAAGACATTTCAAAAGACTTAATGAGTTACCGGATGTGGAGGCTAAGGAAAAGGGTAGATCCTACATAATTTCAAGGTTTGTGGCCTGCCTGAGCTGAGGGCAGCGTGGCCAAAGACGATGGGAATAAAGGAAATAGGAGAAGGAACCAGTTTGGGAGAGAGAAGCTTCCTAACCAGGAGAACTGCCCCCCCTGGATTGGGGGACCTCCTCAGCGGCTGGTCCCCTTCACTGGAAGCAGCAGCTGAAGGATCATTTACTTGGCAGATTTTGGTCTAGAGGCCAGAGGTCCTTACCCGTTTTTGTGTAACCAACCCCTTGGTATTGAAATGCATAAAATGAAACATGTCATCCACACAGAAGTAATATTTGAAGCAGTGAAAGTGATGGCTCTGTCCTAAGCAAAGGGAAATGGAAGGAGAGCTTGGAGAAATCTCACCAGAATTAGAGGGAACCAGAGAAGGAAAAAAGAAAAAATAGCCATCAACAGAGTAGAAGGCATATATAATAGGTCCCAGAAGACAAGGAGGGAGGATCTTTCCAAGAGAGAGTGTTTGATAGTGCAAAGAAGTCAAGAAAAATAAGTGCCGAGGAAGACCACTGCACTACGTGGGCTGTTGTTATTGGCTTCTTAAATTAGGATAGAAAGCCATTTGAAAGCAAATGGAAAGGAGTGAGAGAGGTTGATGATGCCAGAGAGAGAGGGGAGTAAGGAAGGGGCATTGTGTTCTTCACTCATTTCAGTCGTGTCCCACTCCTCATGACCCCATTTGGGGTTTTCTTGGCAGAGATATTGGAGTGGTTTGCCATTTCTTTCTCCAGCTCATTTTCAGATGAGGAAACTGAGGCAACCAGTGTTAAGTGACTTGCCCAGGGTCACACAGCTAGTATCTGAGGCCAGATTTGAACTCAAGAAGATGAGTCTTCCTGGCCTGGCACTCTATCCACTGAGCTATCTAGCTGCCCTAGAGGCATCATAGTACAAATGAAATGACATTAGGTTTAGATTCAGAAGTCATTGGGAAAGTTTTGTTAATGTCTCTGGGCCTCAGGCTGCTCATCTGTAAAATGTGAGTGTTGGACTCATGGCCTTTGAGGACACATGCAGCTCTGTTTCTGATCATATGGTCTCTCAAGAATGGCCATGTGGCTGGACCACAGATAATTGAGAATGAACTTGACATTCATAGTCATGCATGTCACTTGAAGAGTGGCACTGGGTAGGTCTCACCTAAGCAACCTGCCATCCCAGACTCCTAGGCTGTGCTCCCCAGAAACACACTGCTGGCAGACACAGCTTCTTGATGACCCTATATTTCTCCATTGCAGGGGCTCCTCTCATTTTGAGAATGAAGAATAGGTCAAAAAAAACAAACAAAAACAAACCCTTTTATTACTAACGGCTACAAGGGAGGCTGATGGAAAGATAAGGTAACTTAGATAGGTCTACACTGTTATAGAGCTAAGTATGAATGGTGGCAGGTTCTAGGCTCTAGGGCTTGACTGACCCATCTTCCTAGGGCCAATAGACTCCTTTCATTTTTGACAGCCAGTGCTAGGAAGATGTTAGCAGCTTTCAAGAGATGCAATTAGGCACAATGCAGGTTTCTGGGTAAGTCCTGGGATCAGAAGGGTTTGCTTAACCCTGGGAAAAGTTTGCTTGAACCCAATAGGCATAAACCACTATTAGACTCCCCTTAGGATATTTCATTTTTAAAAATCACTGCCAAAGGTGCCAGCTCATTAAGATATCTTTATCTTAAATCCCTTATCCCCTGTCTTTATCTCATCCTATTCTTTTCTTCTTGGCCTAGAAGGAACCTAGAAATGGAAAATTCTCTAGAATGGGACCTTGACAGAGAAAAAGTCTAAAGTAGAGCCTCTATCTTTTCCAAATATCCCTGCTAAAAATCCATCTATTTCTTCCCCATGTCCCTAATGTATCATCAGTGTGCCAGTTGTGAGAACATTAGAAAACCTTCGCATTAAATGTTACTGGTCTTCCTGGGAAAATTGAGTAGATAAGGATATATCAAAGCTCCTCTTCAGTCCAGAAAAATCTAATTTTCTGCCACAGAGAAAAGAGAACTATTTTTGAAAGCTGCTAAATATTATTACCGGCTGTGTAAATTAGGAGAACTCAAGGGAAATCCTGAAAAGAAGAAGCCATTAGAAGAGGAAGGAAACTGCCAGGAACGCTTTAGAACCCCTTAAGAGACCCAGGAGACTTAAAACTCATATAAAGGAATCTTTGAAGAGTGAAAAAGTAGACAGTGACACCCGTGCCAGCAAGCTCACAAGAGAAAATGGCTTACAAATGACTCTGGCTCTTAGTGTGGAAGAATAGGTGAGACAGGAATGCTTGCCTCATGGGTCCCGTAAAGTCAGAGAATAGCAGAAAAAGCACCATGAAGAGAAAAGAAAATATTGCTGAAGATGGAAGCCATGGGGCCCAGTGGAGAAAAGATCACTGGTTCTGGAGTCGGAAGGACCTACTGAGATTTAACATTTCACCCCTGATTCTTAACTACTGCTGCCACGTTGGGCTTCAGTTTCCTTCCCTGTAAAATGAATGGGTTGGGCCATATGGATTCTGAGATCTCTTCCAGCCCCAGTTCTATGATTTACAACCCATTCGAAGAAAGAATTCTGGACTTGGAGTCAGAAGATTTGAATAAGAACAATGTTGCTGGTACTTACTGTCTGTTGGGCAAGTCACAACCTTTCTGGGCCTCAGTTTCCTCATCTGTAAAATGAGGATGAAATTCACAGCTTTAAATCAATGATCTTATAGTCTTATATATACTTCT